GCCCCCGGTCGCCACAGCGACAGTCGGGAGCTGAGCTGCGCCAGCGCCGGCACGTACGCTGCCCCGCGGCTCTGCGTCGTCCTACAACCGCCATGACGGCTGCGAGCAGCGCGCTAGGCCGCAGTTGCTGCTTGTAAGGCAGCGGGGCCCCGGCGCAGGCCTGGGAGCTGAGGTGAGCCCGGTTAACAGGCCCCAGCGTGGAGCCTTTGGAGACTGGAGACACTGCACGAAAGCTACAGGTTCAGGACCAGCATATACCATGCAGCATGAAGACCTGTCTTCAGTCAGCAGTTTTGAATTTGAGTATGGCCTCGCTCAGATTTAGATGATAATGAAAGCACCAACACACAGGAAGTGTTAGTATGAAGATGCTGCATTTCCCAAACCTCTGAACGTAATGAAAATAAACATCTTCTGTAATTATACTGGATGAACCCATAGATCACGTTACAGGGGTTACACAGTGGACTCTAAGAAGGAGCTGGGGGATGAATGTATATAGACTTGATTTCTTCTCTCAAACTGATGAACTTAAGTAACCAACGCGTCATCTCAATTAGTAGAAGAAACACGGAGTAAAAATAGTCTATCTGCATTAGTCCATTTATTTCTCCATTTACTTTAAAATACTCCATTCCAGCAGAATCTCAGCAGCGTTTGGCAGCATACCACAGGTGACTTTCAACGTAAACATTGTAAAGGCACCAACAGTATGTCTTCTGCATTTTTTCAACATGTAGAATTGCCCATTCTCTTAACTACTGTCAGAACTAGTACAAAACCAAATTAAATTTTTGATCAGGATCAAAATCCGTTGTAACCTACAAATTCAGTTTGTTTAGTGAACCTCTGAAGAGACTTGGCCTACATCCGCCTTTGCAATGTTGTACGTCCAGAGTAACTGCTAATTCTGATAATTGAAGATGCAAGATCAGTGATGCTAGGCTTCAGATATGAAACTGAAGGGCATTAAAGAAGAAAACATAAAATTCTCTACTAAACGCACAGATAAAACTAACCATATATAGGCTACACTAACTACTGCAAAGGTGCAATTTTCCTTCTGAAAATCCAGTGAATGTTAGAAGTCTGCTTCAAACATCTGAATGCCTTGTGACAAGAAGGGTATGATGCTGGTACCCGAAAATGGTTTGTAAATCGGGGCAGAGTGATTTAACTGCGGAAAGGTATGTCTCATGTGCCTGAACAGAGATTTTTTAAGGTTTATTCACTGACTTCTTTGAATGTATTCTGTGACATTCACTTGGAAAAAGAGGCCTTTTACTTGCAACAGTAAATCTAGTGCTAGCTGTCCAGCAGAAACTAGTTTGATACCTAAAACAGAGCCAATCAGTTTCCTGTTTAATGAACATAAACCTGTTTTGATTCATGGAGAATTAGAAACATTGAAATTAATATGAATTTGTGTGCTTGAAAGTGTATTGGTATTCATTTATTTTTTGGCGGCTAGAAGGAAAAAACAGCTACTTTTGTTATTGCTTGTATTAAACACTATTTCAATTTGTCAAAATTGTTGCTTAAACATGTCTAAGGCATATTACCCACAGAAAGCAGGCATGATTTGAACATATATTTCAGGTCATAGACAACGTGACAAATACACTTTCTCCTAGTATTTGGAGAAAGGATGCATCTGCAGAACTGATCATACATAATGTTGGAATGCAAGAGTTAACATATTGCAATAGGTTAATTTCTTCAAGGAATACTTTGATACATGTATTTTAAGCATATTATCTGTGAATAGACAGAATAGAAGTTGAAGTTCATTTCACAACAGAGATGTTCTGTATACGCAAGTCACATGGTTAGCTGTTTTTGTAAGTATAGGTAGTGTTCTGTAGTCAGGGTTACAGTTTGTTGTGTGGACCCTAAGCATTATATGGGTGTAGGGTTTTCTTCATTCAAGCTTTAAAGTTACATTTTAGGTCAAGCATTTAATTGTAGTTCATAAACATGCTTCAGAAAGTCATGAACCACAATGAGTTACTATTTTATCTCAAGAAGCGTCATTATGATTTCACCCTCGTGATCACAGTACTGATTCAGTGAACATTATAAAGCTAAAAAAAAAAAAAAAGGCCCAAAATGCCCCTGAATATGGAATCGGTGTTAAAAAGCCCTAAGGAAAAGGCAAAAATTCCTCAAAATGGAAGTAGACAAGCACAAAGACACAGTAATATTTGTTGCATATGTATAGTGTCCACACTCCTCTGTTGTCATTAATTTAATTATTGGCCACGTACTTCATTCAGGGGACAATGACACAGTCTTCTTGGCACAAATCAAGGGTTTGTTATGTAGCAGAAATCATACTTCTAACCTTTTAATGTGCAAATTGCATTCCTCTGGGAATTTCCACAAGAAAAACCCTACAGTAAGAATGCGGTAATTGTCAGAAACAGCATTGGTTCCTTGGCACAACTAAAGTCATTTGGTATTATTTCTCATTACAGTTTTATGCAAGACATTTATAGGAGTTTAAAGTGACATATCTATTAAACATCATAAATCTTATCAGTCATAAGATGTCACAAGATGACACAAATTAAGGAACTGCAGGTTTTTGTACAATGATATTTTATAAACATTTGTAAGAAGTTTAAGGCTTACTTCTAAAATGAAACTCGTATTTCCATGTCCTCATACAGAAAAAAATCACAACTTACTGGCATCACTTTTCCTTCTTCATCACAGACACACATTATAACTTCCACATTTCTCTGAGTTGTTTTATTGTATTTATCAAAATCTCCATACAGCAAAGTAATATAAATGTCATTTCTTATATCTCCTAAAAAAGAAATCAAAAGGTTAAAAATCAAATAAAATGCTGTGAGAGCGTAAGGTCAACTGAACTTCACGAGAGTACCTCCTTTTCTGCAGTGAAACAGATAAAAATGTATTATTTTCCATCTCAAATTTTTAGCTCTGTTGTTCTTAGCTAAGAAGATACTACGATGTGAGGTGAAACGAGCCACATGGGAATCCTCACAGTGACTTGAAGCAATTCTCGTCCTGCACTGACACCTGCTGGTGAGGTGACGGATGGTGCTATTACTGAATTTTCCCCAACTACACAGCTGTCTTTCTAGTGGAAGCTTCATAGTTTAATTCTGTTCTCCTGTGAGCAAATTAATATTACTTTTAAAAATATCGAGATTTCACTTGAAGAGTTGGGCGGGGGGGGGTGTTGTTTGTTTTTTTTTCAAAAAGGAACACTGGAGAGAGTGAGTGACTTTAATTAGAAAATACCTCCCCATAAATGCAAAAAAATCAAAAGCTTGGAAACTCATGTGTTTATTATTATTAAAGGACAGTGATAAGTTACAATAAAAATCAGGTTAGTTTAAAATTCAAGTAAGCTTTCACCATAATCTACTTAGATGACAAGAAAGTTATGTACAAGGAGCTGGGATTATCCCTCACTGTCTTGATTTTATTTTTTCCTGTTTAAGTACTAGGAATTACTTTCCAAGGATTACACTATTTTATATAAGCCTCTAATATTGGAACAAAACTTACCATGAAGAGGGAATTCTAAAGAGCTCCTGAGTTACCCATTACAGAAGTAATGGATAGTGAGTAAGTAAATAAGGCTGCAGCTGATGCTCATTAACCTAGGGAATGGAAAAAAAATTCCATTCCTATTATAGAACAAAGCATCTCCTACCTGGCATAATTATTTCAGGAAATCCTAGCTTTCTAGCGACAACGGTGGTTCTATCTACAAGATGTGGATAGTCCTTTCTAGTTTGAATCACATCTCCAACAAGCATTTTCACAGTTACCCAGAGACCTATTAAGAGGACAAAAAAAAGAGATTACATTTATGGTAAGGAAAAAAGAAATAATTCTTTTCAGATGATTGCCTTTTCTACCCACCAAAATAGTGATAAGCATTCACTTCCCCCACTTCCTTCAGCTGAACATAAAAACTCTATAATCCAAAACTGTAGCTAATAATTTAAATAGTCTGTAAGATTCTGCAACAAACTCATGATTCTTCACTTCCAGCTTCAAAGTTGAACCATCTCCATGGTGGTGCTACAGCTTTAACATAAAAGCCTCTCTCTAAAATGTAAACAATATAAAATGAAGTTCCACAAAAATACCTTGTTACTTTACAAAAAAAAAACAAAAACAAAAACAAAAACTACTTTACCTTGTCCACCACTGTCTCCTTTTGATGCAGTGACTTTGCTTAGGAGACTGTGTAAAAAGTCATTCTCTGCCACTACCCTGCAAGGAGAAACAATGTCTACTAGGAATAATGTATCAAACACCATTCAAAGCACAGATGACAAACCGCATCAGTCCTCTCTGCACTGCTTGGCCTCGTTATGATACATTCTGCAATTTCTTTATCTCTCACTGAGTTACAGACCACTCACATTAAGCTTATGTGTACACTGAAGTGAAAAAGATTCCATCAGCAACTTTAGGAACAACATTTTGTGACAGACTGACGATATGAAAGCTTATAATTTTGTAGGAATGCACAGCGTGAATGCATTCACCAACATGCCAGTCCAGTCCACTTTCCCTGATAAACAGCCTAACAAATGAATTAACTTGGAATTTTTTTCAGCTACTTTTGAAATTAGAAACAAATTCTCACATAAGAAACACATTGGATCAATTTGTAAGCAAGTGAAATATTAAACCAGTGTGTCATACATGGAGTTTTCAGAATTAAATTTATTCTTCATGGTACATAGCAGCAGTGCTATGTAGAAGGCACAGATATGTTTCCAGTGAATACTGGCATCTCTGCATTTGATCTCTGAGTATGACATTTTTAGCCAGCTGGTCTGGCATTTCTTTTGAAGATAGTTAATGTATGACAATTCAACTATTTTTTAACTGAAACCAAATTTTTGCTCAGATTTTTCTCAAATTCCAAACAGAATCAAACACATGAATTACTAGTTATCCATACTTGTAAAGCTTACTGTTGAGTATGTATAACTATTTAACTTGGGTTTTGTTAAATAGGACATGGTACCAGCTGTCTGAAGGAGCACATTCATAGATATATACATTCATTTAACATGCTGTGTAACCCCTGTCAAGTCTTAAATGCCTTTTAAAGTGATACTTAAATAATTACCAGTATTGCAACATAAAATTAGTAGTAGGAAAAAAATATTTTTTCTTGAAATATTTCACAAAATGCTAGAGCCAAAAAGGTACAGAAATATTTTTGCGCATATAGAAGAAGATATCTATGACTGTCTTACGGGTGAAAGGGAATGAAATGCTGCTTTTCTTCATCACTTTCAGCTTTTCCTTTTATGATATCTGTAATATCCATAACTAGAAGAGTAAAAGAAAAATCATCAAAACACGTGATAGCATTACAAAATAACTCCTCTTATTTATGAATGACATACATTAACGTTCTTGTGCCTCAGGGTAAATACCAATTTTTTACTAGCAAGCAGTGTAGCCCGACAGGGGTAGATTTGCGGGGCAGAACATTTAGTGCAAAGTGCATACTACAAACATGATGTTGTGTAAAGGGACTACTTCAGACTTGTTTTGGTCTAATCCTGCGAATACAGGTATGAGTGCGCTGGTGATGCTCTTGGGTCATAACCGTTGCTTATATTTCATCTGCGAGGAATTCTATTATTATACTCTGCTACTGTGCTTTGGTTTGCACTGCATAGCAGTTAAGGATGAATTACTAGGAAATGAAATTTAAAAGCACATTTCTGCTCTGAACTAAAATGCTAATGTAGGTGCAGTCTTTATGGACTTAAATTAAATATGGAAGATAGCTGATATAGTTGTTTTGTATTCTGACACGTCTTGGTAGAGATTTCTATGGTCCAGGGCTGGCAAGTATCAGGAGACATCAGTTACCTGCCACTCCAAAAGGCCGCCTTAGTCCTTGTGTGTATTTCTTTGAGTTACTGTCTTTGAGATCCATCCTTCCAACTCGGACTATTTGACAAACTAAATAAATTTTGTCTCTGCTAAGGTCCTTATTGCCAAGATCCTAAGATAGAAAGAAAAAGAAAAAAAGAATTGAAATATTACTTGTGGAAGAATCAAGTTGTGAAATTTAAGCAGGACCTCCAGTAATAAATTGAGCCCCAGTAAACAAGGCGGGGGGGGAACCAAACTGAGCCCACAGAAGGAATGAAAAACCTGACGGTTTGAAGTTTGAAGAAAATAGAATGTAAGATAAATAGACAAAATAGTAGTAATCAAGAGGTACAGCAGATAAAAAAAATCAAGTCATCAGTAAATCTACAAGGTAGCAAATTGGTTTGAAGAAAGGACACTGAAGCACTGTGACTGTCTTAAAGCACTCAATGACTGGTCATCTTGCTCTGCTTCTAAGATTAGTTCTGCTTCCTTCTTCATTTTACTCAATCTTCAGGAGTTCTGATAGTGACCACAAAGAAGAGACAATCCAATTTGCACATATGAAGTAAGATAAACTGGAAAACACTTACTGTGAACACTACTTTAAGGTTGTTGAGCATATCAATTTCTTTTGGAAAGCCTCTACTCCCCCATCTCACCAAGTAGTTCTCACTGTTTTGAAGATAAATATCTTATTGTCATGTGATTTAAAAATTCTTCCCTTTCACAATATATTAAAAACCACAGTACATAACAAAGGTTGCATAACAGACAGTCTGTGGTGAATGTTTAAATCTAATACCAGACTAAAAAGACAAGAAGAATGGTATGCAAAATACCATCAGTAAGTTTTGAAAAATAACTTGAACGTAAGACAGAATGGCACCTTTTTTGGAGGAAAAATTACCATCATCATAATATGTTTGATGGGAATACTCAACAGAATTTCAACCAATCTTTACATTTATAAGTTACTCCCATTTTGTCCCCTTTTCAGCACTTTACTACAAACACCACAACATTCCCCATCAAGAATACTCTCAACTTTGAAGTGGTCTCAGGCTTCTCCAAAATTCTGAAATGTTCAATCCAGGAATTACCTATCAAAATATTTGGGATCCCTTACCCTACAATTCTTTAGTAGCCACCAACAACTAGATCTGGCCACACTTCCCTTTCCTTTTGGTTTTCTTCCTTTTACTTATATATTCTCGACATTGCTAGCGTGTTGGCAACTATTTTACTTCATTTTGGCTAGCGCTTTTTGCTACTCTTTTGCAATAAAAAAAAAAGCATACCTTATAATTGTTAATTTCTGCGGATCATATAGTGACATAAAGAGTTCTGCATCCTCTCCAATTCGGCAAACAAAATTCCGCACAAAGACGTATAGGCTGTGGGTGGGGGATGAAGACATTCGGGAGTATGATGCATAATCTGGTTGATCCTTTGACTATTCAGGAGGAGGAGAATCATTAGCTAGGTCCATGAATTAAAATGGTGGGATACTACAAGCTGTTTCAATGTTTATCATATGTAACAGTTAATCTTGAAAAAATCATAGAAAATTTGGATAAAAATACTTGTTTCCAGCAAATAAGCATTGCCCTGTGTATTCCTCTGAAAGACACTACTTAATAATGTAGACATGACTAGCAAATAAGTTTCTGACCCTCCGCAATGCTTTACCAGTGTATCAACATCCTTTTCTACTATGAAGCTAGAAAGGTAACAGGTTAGAAGGTACAGAAGTGACATTGGTATGGAAGATCCCACCTTCCTTCCCCAAGCCTTCACTGTATGCAAGGAGGTAGAAAGCTCAGACTGCGTTCATCAAAACACTGCACCCAGACTAGGGAGCTACCTCCACGTGCAAATAATGAAAAAGTTGGTGACAGATGCCTTGAATCAATCTTTTGTACTACTTAGAGGATTTATTTGGTATGAGTAAGTATGGGATTTTAAGTATATTATCCTTTCCAGGTAGGTGTCTCCTTTTAGAAATGGAACAGGCATTACTTTACTTGATTAATATTTCCAAGGAACACAATAGTTAAGCTGTTTCTCTTCCCTTCTCTCTTCATGAGTGGAGCTATTCTGAAGTCCTTTACTAAAATTTTGGTAAAAGACTGTGCCTAAATAATTTGACAATGTAATCATGTACAATGATTTGACAATGTACAGCTATGCTGTAAGAACTCAAAAACCCTTTAGGAGAAGAGAGCAGGGAGTGGACCTGTGATCCTTATGGATCCCTTCCAACTTGAGATATTCTATGATTCTATGACTTCCATGTCTTAGGCCAGTTCTTCAGCTACTACATAGTTATATAAAGGGTGCAACTTTTTCGCAATTTTTAAAGGGAAGAAAAAGTATCAAGAGATGATTTTTAAACACATATATTGCAGATTTATATGTTTTTATATATAGCAGAAGGCCTACTATCCACATAGTAATGGGGTTTCAGTATGCTAGGAGCACTATCAAAAAAAAATACACCTCTTTGAAGAGACAAATAACATATGCTGAGATCATGATACAGCTGAGCAGGTTCACCAACTCAAAAATAGGCTCCTAAATTCTACCTACATCCAAGTTTAACCACCAAGAAACAGCTACTTAACATCTGATGTCCTGAAGCTCTTCGTATCCATTGCTTGTCTCTATTCTTTAAACAAGTCAGCACAGTCTATTGCAGGCTACCAAGTTTGATTTTCCTTATATTGTCAGTTAATTACATTTTGATGCCTGGGAAGGAAGATTTATTTAGTGACACTGATGAGAACAACTCATAAGGTATTTTCCAGTGATTTGTCATGGACTTTACTAAAGTGTCATGACAACTCAACGTTTTGGTTTTTTTTGTTAAGTGTTTTACTTGCTTCATTACCGTTTACTTCCTCATGAATCAAGAAAAGAACCCAAGTATTTTACAAATCCTTGAACAGATTTAATATAGAAAAAGGTCAAGGAAGTGTAGTCACCTGCACTGCATTTTAAAAGATTAAATTTATGCAGTTATCAGCTTTGCTTAGGCATGCTCACTTCTGGTGTCCACAACATTTTTCTGAGTTCACCCGAGTTCCTCTTTAGCGAGCTTAAATTCTTCAACTCCATCAGACTAACTAACAAGCAGCAACATCTAGTAAACAGCTAGTGTTGTCACAAGATCTTCTAAAAAAGAGCTTTGGTTAGTCCTAGCTTGCAGCCTGAACTCCAAATATGTAACTATTCACTACGCGAATTAGCCTATTGAGTAGCCCACAGATGGAACAAGGAGACATATTTCCATTTAGGAATCCAAGAATGGATTTAGAACCAGCTTTAGACACAGGCTTTCAGCCTAGACCACAGCCTGAATCCAGTGCACAAATGCAACTAACTCAATTTGAGGCTTAGCCATATTTACAACACATGAATGTGAATCTACTCTTAATTAGTGAATCTACTCTTAATTAGGCAAAAGTTTCCACCAACTTTTATGGTAGAAGGTTATATCATTCAACCTTTGTACTGGTTTTTCATTTTGATTTTAGCAAAGGAAGCATTAAGTTTGGCCAGTCGTTCCTACCATTTCCTCCTTAATTCGCTCAGTGATTTTATTAGTTGCTTCTTCATGTGCATGAAATAGGCTGATGACACTGGTTTTATCTGGATCCAAGATATTTCCATCTTCATCTCTAACTATTAGATCTAGCTCAAGTATCCTGTGAAAATACAAAGGGCATAATGACAGGGTTATTTCCTTTTACAAAAATAAAGCTTAGAAATGTAATGCACAAGGAGCTGCTTCAAGTTTTAAAGCAATAATTAAGTTTAAATACATGCAATAGCATTACAGTGAAGAAAAATTTAACTAAACCCCACAATTTTCTTCTCAAGCTGTTGTACAGTATTTATCTATTTTAGGAGTTTATAGTAATGTCACCAACACATTTAAATGCCTGCCACATAAAATAGATTCACCATGTTCGATGACTTCAAGCAGTCTTCATCTCTGCTTTCTAACATACAACCTTTGTAATGAAGATGCATAGTTTTTCCTGTTACCTTCTGATTTTATGTTGCTCTCTTACCCTCCCAGTCCCGTTACTTAACAACTATGCTCTTCTCCTTTGCTCTCATACAAATCATGCCTTTTTTCCTTCCACCTTTATTTTTTCCTTCAACATTAAAAACTCAAGTCTTACCTCTATACATCTTACATATTCTTCTCCAGAGTGTCTCAGGGTTACCTCAGTCAAGAGATACCCTTTTTTGCCTATCCAGGATCTCACTACTCCATCGCCCTCTAAAATTGGTCTACTTCATGCCAGACTGTACCTTTCACAATATCTAAACATGTACTGGCTGCCCTTATGGCACTGCTAATGTTGTTTGAAGCATTCTGTATCAGACTGTGAGCCATCTTCATCACCTTACGTGATTACCCACAACCTCTCCTGATTCGGTGTTCAACCTCCTCTCCCAGAATGACCCACTCAAGCTCCACTGTCATTCCCCTTTATTCCTTCTCCACAGTTTGGCAAGTTTCCTTCACACATCACAACTCAGCCCCATACTCTGAGGAACTTACCAGTACCATCCAACTTGCACTTTTCCTCTGTACAATCCCAAACCATTTTAAACATCCCCTCCACCGCGCCAGGGGAGGTTTAGATTGGATATTAGGAAAAATTTCTTCACTGAGAGGGTGGTCAGGCATTGGAACAGGCTGCCCAGGGAGGTGGTGGAGTCGCCATCTCTGGAAGTGTTCAAAAAACGTGTGGATGTGGCACTTCAGGACATGGTTTAGGGGACATGGTGGCGCTGGACTAATGGTTGGACTTGATGATCTTGAAGGTCCTTTCCAACCTAGTGATTCTGTGATTCTGTGATTTATCAGAAATCTCTGCATCCAAATCACAGTGAAGTTAAAGAGTTTCATAACATCTTGTGGTCATTGTTTATGTCTAGCCACAGGTAACCGAAGACTTGCAGCTGCATATAGGCCTTCAGGCCACAATAACCACAGTCACTTGCAATAGCTAAATACAGTTTATAGGCAGATTCCAATGCCTATAAAACCAAATGAAGATTTGTTTACCAAGCTCTCTTTCCCCTTATGAGATGGTGGAGCACCACTCAACCCCACATAACCCCATTTTTGCCAAAAATGTGTTGTGTTGCAGTGACTTTTCTTTAGGAAGAAGCAGACAAGGCATTTTGTCAAATAACAGTTCTCTCCTTGGTAGTTTCACTTCTATTGCCAGAACCAGAGTTCTGCCTGGAAATTCCCTAATAAAATGTGGGGCGGGGAGGGGGGCAGAGGGGGTGTGGTGCCTTTAGCAAAGGCTCTGTACACATCAGACTTTTGCTATTCATCCACCACACTAAGATCTCTTAGCACCACTTCTGAAGTGGTAGCATAACACTACTAGAGGTAGGCTGTGTTTGTGAAGGATGGACAAGTTTTGGGTCCTGAGTACACAGATATTATATGTATGTAAAGACCAGTTATCTGACCTCAAATCTTTACCACTGACAAGCTCATATGTCTATAATTAACAAATAAATTAATATTTCACAAAGGTGATTTGCTATGGGAAGCCTCAACATGGTGTCTACTATTATCACAGGAATAACCGGGAGAAGTTTGAAAAGGAAGATTCAATATGTATACATATCACATTAATGAGTTACAAAACTGGAAACAGGAAAACTTTACCATCATCTCTGTTCTAGCTGGGTGCTTTAAAATAAGCCATGTTTTCCAGTAGCAACATAGGCCACTTACTTGTTACCATAGTCAATTTTGGAAGTGACTTTCTGTTTGAGTTCTTTGAGCTCATCTTTTGGCAAGGTCCCAGAGAGAAGCTGTGACCGCCACTCCATTAAGTCATACATCATAGACTGCACCTGCTGGAACCGCTCACTCTTGTTCGTCTAAGATATAGAAGAAAACAATAGGTTTCAGGCATCAAGTTGAAGCAAAACATTGGTCTTGACAATTAAAGGGTGTGTCATATTTGATGCTAAATGATTGCAGGAGCAAGAATTAGGCAAAGTACTGAGCCTCCCTCCTCTCATCCCACAAATTAAGGAAAGAATCTCCCATGTGGCTGTAAAGAAATTACATTAAATTTAAACTGTTTGTATGGGGATAGGGAATTTCTGTTTTATTTAATTGTGTTGTTTTAAAATTCATTAACTAAGTCTCATCTTATAGAAGCAATATAGTTCCTTATGAGATACTGATAAGAGCATGCTGGGAACAACATTTCATTGTGGTATTAATATATTTCAGAGAAAAATGAGAGAGAATGCATAGAAGTCACTAAAGCAGTTCCAGTGTCACTCACTGAAACAAGAGAAGTTTTAATTGTTGAATTTAACAAGCAGAACATTAGAAATGACACGTTTCAGAAAATATATTCATGAGGAGAAACTACACCATATTCAAGATTTCTTTGCCCCAGCAGAAAAAAAGCAAAATCCAATGTCTGGGATCCTGGAACAGTCCGTGCAAGTTCTTGAAACAGGTTATCCATTAGAAGAGACTACTCAGGTACTAGAGAATTCACCATCTTTTGATGTTTTTGCAGTCAGCACTTAAAGACTTTTTGTCCATCAGACTTAGGTTAAACAACTCACTAGAATCAGTAGGGATTAATGTAGGGTTGCAACAAGCAAAATATCTATGATTATGCAAATGTAGAAATTAGGCTTCTATCCTTCAATTTCAAATTTTATCTCGCAGAGCCTTGTAGTCTAAGGATGGGTATAATATCATTAAAAAGGTTTGGTCTCTCTATAAAAGATAGTTGAGGCCTGCAAAAAAGAATTTCAGGTCCAATTTAAATATAATTAAAAATTCATTAATCCCTTCTATAGTTCTGTATTACACAGTGGGCATTACAAGCATATGCAAAAGACCACCGTGACTACAGGTTGCTTGCTTACAAGGAACACAGATGCTGATGCAGTGGCCATTTTGACTAATACCTCTGAATTTTACGTATTGGTAAAAGTGCTCACTGGAAAAAACAGTTTTCTCCAAAATGGAAAAAAACATGTTTTTCTTCAAGAAATGTAAAATTAAGATACTGAAAGTAAAAAGACTGACTTGAAATTGCCAATTGTTAATAGGTACATGCTCACAGTAACCCTTGAACAACTGATGTTCTGGCATCCCAAGAACATGGTGAATCTTTTTCAAATGTGTCTTAGTTATGTTTGATATTCCTATCTTGAAACTTGTCAACTCTACAAAGAACAATTGTGAAAAATTTATCAGGTACAGGATACTCGAGGTTGAAACCAGAGGCATGAAGTTACACCACTGCTCAGCAGTAAGTCAGCCTCTTAATTTACAGCCGTTGAAGAAAATGGTAATCGTCTAAGCAGTGATGAAGTAGTAATTTCTTAAATCCTCACAGATCCTGCCCTGCATCTAAGAAAAGGCACTAATTTGAACAAGGCCTCAATATGCATAAATAAGACTAATTAACAGGCCACACATGGCATGCAAAAATGTCATACCACATAGAGCTGTTTCCAGATGCTTCCCCATTCCCAGAGAGTAGTGGTAATAGCAGGAATTATATTTTCTGTATGTCTAGGAAAGAGAAGAAAATTTAACACCATGAAAATGAAAAAGAGTATCTGAGTTTCATGGGTTTATATCATAGTCACTGTGTTTAAGGCAAACAAATGCCTTAAAACTCATTCTTTATCAGACAAGATCCTTAATGTAATAAAACAGTTAAATTCAATACCTTTTCTTTTCAACAGTAACTTCCTTGATGTGGATGAAAGATTTAGGAAATATTCCCTGTTGGAGGAGAAAAAAAAATACAATCCACTCTTATTGTTTAAGATCATTTAAGTAACAAATGAGAGCTTTCCAAAACGCACTTCTTCTAAATTTTCTTCATAAAACCATGACTATGAACATAAACTGTAATCTCCAAATTAACTGCTGCCTATCTAGTTTTCTGTCCAGCTAGATGCATTTCTGTTTGACATAAAAATATTAAAAGTTTTGTCATATATTTTTCCGCAAACACAGAATGCATAAGATTACAGAAGAAACATGGTCTTCCACCCCCGTCCACCCATCTACTCGCTCAGAAAACAGTACCTACAGTGTAAATACAGTAAAGAAACATTTTTTCTGTGCACCAGCCCATAAATTTCTTGTTCCAGAAAAAAAATGTAGTCTAACTTAGAGCTCAGCTAGATTATCAAACCAAAGGAGAGACGGTGATAGAGGATCATTGCGTCTGGTAAAAGAAATCTTGATAGACAGAGGGAGTCCCTCTGGATGAATAGCAAAATGGCCACTGACATGAAGGATAGTAAACTCAACGTTTACTTTGGAGCATAAAAACTAAGATCACTGTGTGTAAGACTAAAATTGCTTTAAGAAAAAAGAACTACCTTTCATTTGCAATGCACAAAGAAGGGAGACACTTAGTAAAGCCATAAACTCTCAGTGCTCCTACGTATACATGGTACCACTGCAATTAAGATTATGGTCTCATTTTGTACTACCTAGGGCCATGCAGTAAGATGCCCAGCAAGATGTAGCAAAGGAAGCAACAGATTTCATGACATTGTCAACATGCATTTTTAACTGACCTATGTGGAAAAAAAAATATCACCAGACAAAATGATCTAATACGATGTGTCCATGTTCTACAACAGCTAGAATGTTTTAAGTCATCTTAAAAGATCCATGACAATCCTTACATTAACTAGCAAAATTCAATAACTGACATTCACGTGCAGTACTTTGTAAAGTCTTTCTCTCAATTAGACTTCAGCTTTTCTAGCCGTTTTCTTTTAGCACTGGATCTTAATCAAAGCACAATCATGCCTTATCACTTCCACAGTTTTTCATTAAGATTTAAGTTCAAAACAGTCCATGAAGAAGCAAAGTAAAAAAGAAGGTCCTATTAATAGTAAATTTAGTGAAATCTTAGTATATGAAATCAATAATACTTCTTAAAACATGTTGTGCATGTTGACCTTGATGAAACCCTTTAGCAATATTAAGAATTAGTTAAAAGGAAGTGGTTAGTTCTGGTATTTCCCTTTTTAGTTTTAGACTAAATTTTAATAAAATAAAAAATTTAATTAGAATAAACAGCAGGAGCGTTTTGAGTCAAAAGAAATGTCAAAGGACTATTTAAAACACAGTTACAGTATGGGACAGGATGGAAGGATGTTTAGCCATTCTCTCAGATCCACCCTCAATTATTGCAGATCAACCCAGCTGATAGTAAATACTCTGGGTAGCTTCCACTGAAATACTATGCTGTATCAAGAACTTATTATGGTGAACTACCTTATCACTAGCCTGGCTTCCATCTCATCTGTGATGAGCTAGAAATCAAAGCAAACAAATAAGGTGTACTATGCAGTTTTATTGGTGCTCATAGAACATGTAGAAGTCTAGCGAAAACAATTATGCATAATTATCACAAATAATTATTCATACTTCTGTCTGTTAGGATGTGCAGTGATTGACCAATGAAGTGAAATAGTAAATCAAGCATCTAATACTTCCAAAAGGAAACTAAAATATTTTACTATCACATACAGTTTGAAAATAGACACAAATTAGTTGCTGTAAGTTAATGCAACTTACTGCTAATACCTAAAGCCATTGAATACAAAATAAGAAAAAGGAGAAATGTACAAGTTAAGACTGTTGTGATTTTTTTTGTTCTCTGCCAACAACTGTCCCTTTGCTCCCCAGATACCTCTTTTTAAGTGGCTGTGAAGGTTTTATACATCCTTTTTCCAGGCTACAGAGAAGCAATTGCCATGAAGCATTTTTACTGTAATATAAGGCATGAGTGTCTAACTTGCAAACACCTTTGCATTGCTGCAAAAAAATATGATACTAAGAGCAAGTTTCAAAAAATGGCTTTTCTTCTAGAAAAGTGCGTTTGAAACTAAAAAGTAATTTTCTTGTTACCTAACTCAGGAGTCACCATGCCGAGGGTAAAAAGTATTCATTTGTGGCTTTCTGTCTTTGGGTGTAAGAATACTGACTTCTTTTAATTAATATGATTTTTGCATATTGGAGATCTATTTAAGAATTTAAGCCTGATGGGAGTTGTTTAGATTGAATGTAGCCTAAAGTATTCTTAGAAAAAAGTGCTGAAACAGACACATCTAGCAGTAAATTAACTCCAAAACTTATTTCAAATGATGCATTCAGCAGTCTGTGAACCTGAAGGCACAGTAATTTTTTATTCATTGACCTGCTTCTCCCAGTCCTTACTTCTAATATTTACCAACATTGTCCAGGACAAACACTGATCATTGTATTAATTTTGAAAGAGAATGGAGATAGCTGACTTCAGAGATCAGAATATGACTGTCTAATTTAAAGAGATACTAAAAACCCCAATTCATGGGTTCATTGCTTGAAAATAGTCTCCGGGGAATGAATAGCGTGGTCTTACCTCTGATCCTTTGTGTCTTACTAGGTAACCTTTGTACCAATCTAAAAGGAAGAAGGAGTGCACTTAGTATGACAACACACATGCATAAAAAAGCATATAATGAAGTCATGGTTTTTGTTTCATGTAAGAACTATCCTAGCATAGGATGTTTAAAAATTAATAGTTACTTCAAAAATACATAGATGAATGTAAACTGAATATCAGGAAGCATATTTGGCATGACTTGCACATTAGCAAGTACGATTATATGGTCTACTTTCAAGTCTTGCATTGCAAGTACAAATAATCTTACATGGAATTTAACACCCCCATGCTCACGTAAAAAAGGTAGGATAAGCTGTTTTGTAATGTAATATATAACACACACATATATATGTATCTGTCTCAATCAAGATCACTCATGATACCAGGTAGCCCATGAAGATCGTAGATCTTCTGATTGTGTTCTAGGTGTAGTATTAATCCAGTACAGTACATGCTGTTATTTATCCAGTTTCCTTGAATGTAAGAAGAGTAAGCCATTTTTCTGCCATGAGAAATTACAGATTTTGGACCCAACTCGAATAAGCAGCTTCCTAGTGTACAATTCAAGTTAGAAACTCAAGAAAATGAAGGGCTATTATGGGGATTCAGCTCCATTCATAACTAGAAACTCCTTTTTGAAAGAAAGAAATGCAGTATTGCAGTAGTGGCAATTAAAATACTAATTCAGACTTTGTTCCTTCTATGCCTCAGTTAAATCACAATAAACTTCTATAATGAATATAAAATGAAGAGTTCAACCTACTAAATTACAGCAGAAGCCACATTCCATCATCAAACACGACCTGCACAGCAACAGAGTTGAATACTACTTCGATCTCACCCCAGAGAAAGCATTTGATGACTAAAAGTACATTTTCTGACTATAATTTCATGAACAGATATCATCTCTTTCCTACCACCTTTTCTCTCACCATTTCTAACACAGCACTGGTATTTCAGCCATGCAACCAAAGCATTAAAAAAAAAAATCCCAAACCCCAAACAGTACTGTGAGAAAGGCAATGTTAAAAGTCTCAGGAAAACCACTGACCTCAAAGACAGACTCAGGACAGATTTTTTTCAGGTTTCTAAGCACTGGGATTTTTTTTCCAGTATCTTCTCAACAATAAGACTTCCAACTTACTTCTACTGAATTATTTTCCAACCTAGTGTTTCTGTGATTCTGTGATTCTGTGATTTGCACATAGTCTCCCATTTAAAACCAAATGTGTAAAACCTATTTCATCCTGTTTGCTGTGACTGCACACATATGTTCTGTGCATATAGTTTGTATATGCAAAACAAAGTAAAATACTATATGAAATGAGCACAGGAAAAAAATCCTGTTACTGTTGGTTACTCTTCAGCTGCAGCCGGCAGCATATTTTTAAGATATCTGATAAAAGATGAACTTCCTCACTTGCACATGAAAGATTCTACTTCTTCACTGACAAACATATTTCATAAAGCAAGCTATGACATAGCATGATAAGGGCAGAGGATTCAGAAAAGACTTCTGGATAAAAAATGATGCCGTAAGATCACCACTCAACTTGCCAGGTCCATGTTGATGCAGAACTTTCATTTTTTAGGTGAGGACATGCGTCTGTTGACTAGTAGTCTGATGAGTGACATCAGTATTTTCATGGATGCTTAGAGATAGTTTCTCTTACAAATAGAAGAAAAAGAAAAAAATATGCTTCTGTGTTCCAAAACATTGGAGGAATGGTTTCTCAGATGCTTTTCTCTTGAATACCTAGTTTCCATGCAAAACAACCTAGAGCTCAGTGAAGTGGAATCGGCTGGGCTCAAACAGCTTCAGATTCTTTGTGGCCTTATGACCACAACATACGAGCTGTCTTTTAACACTGAGCTGTTTCTAGAACTGCATAATGCAGCTGTTGCTCTTTCTTTTTAACATAACTACAGTTAATAAGATACAACTGACAGCGGAAGTAGGTTTAAGATAATTTTACAATACATTTTGCAAAGCTTGAAGCACTTCCTTAATTTTTTTTAAACTTCTACCTGGTCAAGAACATCACTGCACACTGAAAATAACTTACAATTACAATAATATTTGCAGATATCTAAGTGTTGAGTTAGTGATAATAATTGCACCCTTGTTGCATTATACTAATAAAAACGTAAGTAGCTCTGTCAGACTTGGTAGAGAATTCAGTAAGTATGAAGGAACGGGTCAAATCAATATGGAGGAATACCACACCACTACAATATCAACAATTAATTCAGCTTCACAAATGTACAGACATTTATGTTCACTCATTCTTCCACTGCTTGTATTTATTTTAGGCTTATGCCAGTTGGCCAGATAGGTCAACATAACAACAACATAAGTTTGGATCAGCATATCGATTATCTATGGTGCATGACTGGACTTGAACTTGTGCTGTTTAGCATGTTCAATAAGTTGGCTGGTTTTCAGAAGTGTCTCTATGATGCTGACCTACAGACTACTTTAACATACTAGATTTCCATCTTATACTATAGGATGACTAGAGTGCTGAGTATCTCCTAGCAACAAATATTTAGTTTAGAGGCAAAAATGAACTCCATTAAAACTTCAGTCAAATCTGACATAACTTCCATCAGGTATATTACAAGCTGGTATGAAATTCACAAACTCTATATTGACCTTGATGACTTCCTTATTTGGTAACGGCTTCCCAAATAAACCACACATACCATAACATTTCTGATTTTGGCTCAGAATAGACCACCACCAATAATACAAATAAGAGCATTAGACAAAAAGGATTAAGTTATTCACACAGAGAAACCTGTAGCCTGAAGGCAACTGACTTACCTTCAGAGGACTCCAAGATATGGACCACATCACCAATCTGTAGAGGCAGTTGCAGTGTTCCTGTGCCTTTGAAATTGTATATAGCTGAAAAATTAAATGACAAAAATACTGTTTTTCAATACAGCCATACAGTACACTTGTAGTGAAAAACACACATGGTTATTAAGATTCTGATACTAGAATAAATACAGTAGGATAAACACACACAACCATAATTCTATCAACAAGCTTCATCTGTTACCATTACTTCATCTCTTTTGTGAAAAGGCAAAGGTATTGGAAATGACAGGTGCTGAAAACAAAAAAGCCCAGCATATGCATGAAAACAAACTATTTATAACTGCTCTGCACAGGATTTAATAGCACCTATTTAGATGCAGGTCTTCAATATATACATGTTCATTACGCTGGAAAATTGTTAGTCTACTGCTCTGACTAAGAATTTAAATGCACAGTTTACAGAAGTTTATGGCAACATTGGTGAGGAGGGGCACAGAGATGCATATGAAAACTAAATTTATTGAATTCTTCCCTGTGTTTAGATGCTGCACCTTGACATGAAACTGTTTCATATGGAAACAGTAGTTTTGTAATTTTCTGTATTTAATAACTCTGAAAAGAACACAGGAGCAGCAGATTCTAAAAGCATTCTAATCAGAAGTTTATCTACGTGTGGTTAAGAAACAGCTACGTTTCAGAGAGAATTCAAGAAAATAAGCTTCTTTACTAGTTCTTACATTCTACGGCTACAGGATGTGGGCTGCTATGGTAAGCATTTGTTTCTGTATAGTTTTTCTTCATGGGGTTGGTTATAGACTTTTATAGTAGAAGCATTAGAGTAGAAGCGGTTATTGAAGCTAGTATCACGCAGAGAAACCGATTAAAACATGTAAGCCTGAAACCACAATTGAATTGTACAAGTAGGAACAGTAACCAGTGACTAACTGTGGCCTCTGTTGTACAGTAAAAGTATCAGTTGGCAGAGTTTTATTCCTTTTCTCATGACAGTGTCCCAATCCATCCTTACATACAGAGCATCCAATCTTGCACTATTTTGGACTAGGGGAAAACTGATCTAGAATGCTGAGCCTACTTCAGTGTATTCCTACGTTCCTTTTGCTTGCCCCTCCAGGCTTCTGAAGCAGGATATTCACTTCAGCTAGGCCAAAATGTATACTGACACATTAAACATAATTTTAAGTAAAATGTTTAAGTAAAAAGTCTCAATTTAAATTGCCTTTCATGAAATTGCCTAAGGTAGAAGTGTAGAGCTAAATAGATTCATCCTCTTCATTTTTTCAAGTGTTCCATAAATTGTGTATCTTGTTTCTTTTGTCATCATTACGTTCATTATATTTTTGGAACAGAAATTAGGAGGCATTTCAGATTTAATTAAGAGGCTTATTGGACCAGAAATAAGTTCTTATTTTTGTTGCCATGAAGAGGCTTTCCCACCAGTTCCTTCTCCTGGTTGGGTAGAGCAGGGCTGAATCATTAAACATATGGGGGGAGAAAAAAAGGAAAAGAAAACCCTAAACTTTCAAGTGAGGCTCTGCTGTCCAGATTCAGCCATTTATTCAAGAGAATCTTGAAGACACTTCCCCAGTGATCCTCAGAGAACTGCCTTAGCTCAACACAAAACTGAAGTAGTAGATGTGTATAGTAGATGTGTAGTTGTGTTCTGACTGGCTTCCTTTCATTGTCTTGACACAGATTTAAAGAAATAGAAGATGGCAAATCAACCCTCCTAAGTTATCATGATGCTTAAAGACATGTTTCCACTGGAGTGTTGGGGGGGATGGCGGGGGCTGTAAGGAGGGGTGCTCTGTTTTCCTGAAATGTTGTGTTTGTCTCAAAATACAGATGCAAATTACTGACTCATATATTCACACTGCATATTGCTTTTGCTCTCTTAAAAACTTCATTTAACAGCAATTAATCTATTGAAAAGTGCAGTAACAAACTGACAAAGGAAGTGGCTGTATCAGCTAAGACTTTTCTAAATGAGTAAGTGGAAACTTAAAGAGAGAGATTTTACCGTAGAATTTTGATTGTTTGGTAGGATGAGTTTAACAAATTCCTTTACAATGTTTTAAGCTATAGACCTAACCAGACATTTTATGATACGAAATTATCTCCTGTATACCATTGCAAAAAACTCGATAAACCAACCTATTACCATCAGCTACCTCCAGGTGTATTATCTACAGCACCAGACAGCTTGATTATCGCATCTGCTAATTTTTGAATTATTAACTCTGAATGAAAATTTGACGATTATATCCAACTGTATCTTCTGTCAGCTGTGACTAATATTATTTCCCTTACAAACTGTGACCCTCTTATACTGCGAGTATCACCTCAGAGTTCACCAGCCAAGAGGAGGGTTCCCTTTCCTCCACTTCCCTCCATTGTTGAGATCTTTGGGGTTGTGTGTGTGTGTGGTTTTGTGTGCACAAACGTGTACTTCATTTGTTTTGCTCTTCAGAAATAGTATATAAAGAAACCCTGCATGGTTTTAAAGGTTTTTTTGGTCGATATTCACAACCATTTTCTTTAAAAAATACATTCTTCAGCCAATACAAAGAGAGGCCCCTTCAAATCACTCTGAAGAGCTTTCTGCCACTCCACTCCCTGGCATCCTCTATCCCAGCCATAAATACAAAAGGAGACTATCCTCAAGGCACAGAAGGTGGCCTGCTTGAAAACCCCAGCACTCATTCTAAATCCCAACAGCAATTACTGACCTCAGGAACAACTGATGTCATGCCAGTAAGATTAGTGGGAGAGATTTGGACAGCATAGGCCCTCCCCAGCAGCCACCATCAGGCTAAGGTGTTCCCATCAATAGCACAGCTGTGCGCAGATGCTGTCAGATTCTCCCAGGACAGCACAGAAAATGCCCAGGAACTCCAGCCTTAAGACAGTGTTCCTAAATATGGACATTAAGGTTCATTGAGAGTACAGTTAGCAAATTTCCTCCCAGATCAGCAAAGAATAAAAACTTTCAGAGCTTTTTTGAAAAAGTCTTTTTATAGCTCACCATAACCTCAGTGGTAATTTTATAGCCGGACACACACACACACGACACACAGAAAACAAACCAACCAACCAAGGCAAAACCCCCTTAGATTCCAGGTGTTTGTTTTAGCTCCCTCAGGAGATGAGCTGAAAGCCAGCACACCACAAACCCCAATATTGCTTCTGAAAGCAAGCCTAAGAAATACCAGGTCAAACTGCTAACCTAAGAAGGTTTTCCAAACTGAACTCTGCTCAGGTACAAGTTGGCTTTGAATTATACCTCAGGAAGATGGAAGTGATTCCCATCATTCCCATGAAGCGTGCCTAAAGAATCCTTTCTTCAGCCAAACAATATGTGCTGTAACAACGTAAGAAGCTTCCGTGTCTAATTCTGCTATCACTCACACGTACAGCCATCCAGACCTAAGTAAAGACATCTACCAGTGTCCATCCCAGCAGCAAAAAATGAGTATGAAGACTGAAGAAAATTCCTATGTTTCCATTTAACTCCTACATACCTATTAAAGCCACATCTGTCCGATACGATATGCACAGATAGACATGTGTATGCGGTTGAGTATATGCATGTCTTTAAAGCTTGTTTCATTAAGTCACATAGGTATGTACATGTTTTCCAAAGTGGAGTAATGAAAATCTGTAGAGGACATTTCTCATGACATTCCAAGACACAAGGTAAATCTAAGTCACTGTATGTTCAGAGTAGGGTTCCTGTTAAATTATAAATTCAAGCAACTGCAGATTGAGACAGAAGTACAGTTAACATATTAGAATTTAAATTATATGCCCTCAATTTAGAAGATGACCGGGGCGGGGGGGCAAATTGTACTTTGTACCTTATTTGCGAACATGAACACAAAAAACAGTCTAGAAAACTCACAGTAATCCAGGTAGTAGAATCACTTCCTCAAAAAGCTGGATTTCCTCAGTATTTATGTACTTCAAAAACCCAGGTTCTTGCTATTCACATGATCAGACTTTAAGCTAATGCAAGATGGCAGCTTTGAGCAAGGAAAATCCTACAGACCTGTAAGACTGAAGCCATTTATTATCCTAATCTTCCTACCTGTCTTTCCTGCTGGTTTTCCTTCATGTGAAGTTCCTACCCTGTTCTTTGTAACAAACACAAGTATTATGTTGTTTCAATTTTAAGACTCACCTTTTAATAATAACCCATGTTTCAAGTTGATTTCCGTGGCTACTTTCCACCCTTCCACTTAAACAGAATTTGAAAAATATTTCCAAGGTATAGCTTTGCTGAACCAGCTCTTAATTTCACTTTACCATAATAGGAGGAATATCACAAATTATTTCTATGTAATAACTCATGAACTGTTTTGCACATTCAGACAACTACTAATTAATAGCTCAGCAAGAATCCCATTCAATTTTATTTTTGGAATATGACAACTTTTCTTTTATGAGTAGTAATGTAAAAGTAGTACCTTCTTTCCTTACAGATCAATTCTTTGTGTTCAGTTACCATTTTCTTCTCATGAAAACAGGGTGAAATTACTCAGCAAGGACACTGACAATGCTCATGTGAAAATATTATGCAGTCCTAACAACTTCTGGAAAGAAAGCTACAAAACTTGTGTTCCAGTATTTCTGAGTTAAGGATCTCCCCTTAAATCTCACAGAGCAAGTGTCCTGTAAAGAACATGACATGGACGCAGTTCTAATGAGTATTTCACAGGTCAGAGACATGTACCAAAGCTCAAGGCAGGTTAAAGGCTAATTTTATTTATTGCAAATCATGCTCAGCAAAGGGTAACTCTTCAGTTCTCAGAAAACAAGCTGTTATCTCAGATAACAGTTGAATACAGACTTCTTCGCATGCTTAACCTTCAGGCCAGATGGAGGTTTTAGATGACTTGAGCTACTTATTTTCCTTCTTAAACACAATAAAGCCAGTACAGTTTCTAAGAACCAGGAAGTTCTAACATACCCAGCTAGTTGTAGGCAGATACTGTTTCTGACTCTTTACGTTTTCATAGAAAATAGTAGCATGGTCATTTTTCTTAAAAGTCTTTATGAAGAACAGAGTGTTTAACTGTGCTTTTCCCTTTTCTTAAAAGAAAGAAGAGATAAAGTGGATAAAGAGATTCCTTTCCCATCTTTGTCTTCATCTTACTTCAGTCTGCCTTTTGCAGTAAGATATACTTCATGAGGCTGCTGTTGTTTCCCAAGCAGCCGGAACAGTCTGTTGCTTTCAGGGGCTACAGACCATGTAAGTACAAAAGTGCAAAGCTGAATATCTGGAGCACCCTATTTAAGTAAAATACAAAAGTGGGCACACGTAGCCTGCATTCTACCATAACCAAGGGATTGTGTGGTGTTCCAAATCTACTCAGCATACTAGTGCTCTTCCAAAGCAGATTGGGCCAAACATTCTCAAGCTGAAATTGCTCTCAAACTGAAACTCTGCTCATCAGTGGAAACTGAAGACATCAGGCACGCTTCTAGTAAAAAACTTAGAAATCCAACGTGAGAATCATTCATCAGAGACTTGAAAAAAAAGATTTCCAAAAACAGAAGACAAAATAGCCCTATATGGTCAAAAAGCTTCCAGACTGTATTATTGAAAAAAACTTGTCAACTTTCACAGACTTCATGTCTCGGTAGACTCAGTTTGCCCATGTTTCTAGATTTTCCTGAGACACAAGAGGCATGCTTACAACAGACCTTAAATTCAAAAAGCACTTCATTTGTGACTATAGTGGTCAATACCCCATATTCCAGGCCTCACTACCCCCTGAGTTTCCTATAAGTAAACTTTAGCAATTACACTATTTTCCCTCCAATTTCGAAGTGCATAAATTTAATTTCCAAAAACCTCTTTGAACACATATTCAAAAAAGCCTGCAACAAAATCCTCAGTGTGACTGTTTCCCCAGCTGATTTGTTGGGGGGCTTTTTGGGGAGCAAGGGGGTGTACAGGACAAGACAACTTGGGGGGGGGATATGTGTGTGTGTTTAGCGTTTGTTTTTTTCTTTCTAGTTTGAGTTTTTAATAAAATTTTTATAAGTTATTCTGGGTGAAAGATTCTCCCCACTATTCTCACTAACTTATATAAGGAAATAACAAATACATTTAGTTTCCAGGATAAATAAAGGAACTTAAAACAGGCTGTGAGCTAACAGCTTGGCTAAGAAAAGGAACTCCTGGTTATAAACTAGAGCTTATTTAATTTTTAGTTATCTATTAACTTAAGGCAATTGTGCAAAAGCAGAAGTGGAACACTCCCTACTGAAGACAACCTACATGTACATGAAGACATGTCACATGTATGAGTACTTATATAACTAGTATTATATTATTGTTGGAAAATCCATTTGTCTATTGTTCGCATTTTCCGTATTCTGCTTTGCAGCAGACTAAACTGCACACATGGCTACTATTGTGATTTTTTTACAACTTATAAAAAACCTTATAATACAATGTTTAACAGAAGAACCTTTAACCCGGTAAACGACCTTATTTGGGGTGAGCAAAGAGACAGCAAGTGATAGTACTATTACCACACATGATGACACAGCTTGCACAGATTCTCTTTTACATCAAAATCATGTAAGTGCTTGTAGCCTAGAACAGCAGGAGAGGAAGCACAGGGTAAAGGAAATACCACCCTGTCTGCAGTGTCAGTTCTCCCCAGTGACCTACTTGAGATCTAAATTCTGTTTTGGACTTCCTGTTGAAAAGCACAATCATACCTACACTTCTTCAAGGAGAAGTTCAATAGGCACGGAGGACACATCTAGTACAGTTTGCAGAGCAGTGCAATAAACGATTATGTTTATGGTAACTACAGTGGAGGGAATCTATATTGAAACTACATGTGACAACGCTAAAAAGCTACTGTTATTTTTCAGTTTTTAAATGCTTTGTCATAGATTCCTTAAGATCTGATATCTGCCGGCTACAAACTCTACAAACTAAATATATTTACCCTAAGCCTCACAGCCACGAAACTTAAGGAATTATTTCTATAAACAGTAGGTCTAATCTCATTTGGCCTCTTATTAATCCTGCACGGGCAAGGGTGCACAGTCTTTGTTCTTGAGCAAGTTACTTCATGGCTAAGCAGGTTTACTTTTTTTTTAATGCATACCAAGGAAAAGGTATAATCTTTGAGAATTATTAGAGTATAAGGCAGAAGTCCATCTGCTGCTTCACAAACTGGATATATCACTTCCTTTATCTAGTTAAAGGAAATTTATCAAAGCTTTGATAAATCTGTTGTCTGTTTTTAAACACGAGCAAAGTTCCTTAAAGATACAGATAATCAATTGCACCATTTCCTATTTGGTGCACTTGATAATCCCTTCTCATTATTCATGCTGTTTGCAGATTTCTTTTAGTCAAATAGTGGCTGTTTGTTTCTTTAAGCTGATCTCAACAGTAGGTCAAGTGTAACTGGCTGCTTCTTAATTTGCATTTTACAAAGTTACAAATAAAAAAAAAAAGTTTTATTTTGCTTTCACCTTCACTCCTCCTGACACAAAACTACCACTGATGTCCTAAATGCTTATATGACAGCAAGTTAGTTTTACTGTTAATTGTAACCTCTAATTCAGAAGTTACATGTCACTGTGTTGGCACCTGGAAACTTCCCACGTCTCAGGACTCCTCATCCACATGATACAACAGATTGCAGAGTATTCAGTGAAGTGAGTAACATGAGTAACCCAAGTATGTCTTTAGCACATGAGCAGTTGTAACAATCAGACTTCTTATGCTAATAGACCTTTTTCAAGAATTTCAGTGTCTGTTGTAAACTGAAATAACCAGATTGAAGGAGACAACAGTCTTACCAGGTAGATGGGTGAGAGAAGGAGAAACAGTGGTTCTAGCAGACCACATTTCAGAAAGCGGTACCTGTACATAGTTGTGATTGCAGTGATGCTACCCTACAAGCTACACATAGTACATACTCACTTTAAAGTGAGAGTGCTATAGTTGTTAGAGCTGGTAATGTTTAACTGGGAAGAGCAAAAGCACTGGTGCATTGCCAGATCAACTGAAACTTAATCCGTGTGAGTTGTTTAAAACTCCTAAATTTGTGTTGTCTCTATGGCAGTTTTAATGGTATTGAAATGCTATTTTCTATTATTTGATTTCTTTTTATGCACTAAAATAAACATGTTCATGATAAGTGATTCAGTTAAAAGCTTACTATTTTGAAATAAATATTCTTGGATCAGAGGTAGAAAAGACTACTGCTATACAAAATAGCATATTCTGTATATCATATGTTAAATCAAACAGTGCAGTGAATTGTTCCAAAGAGCATTGTAGTATTCATGAAAACAAACTTCACTAAATTGTCATTCGTTTATGAAGTAAAAAAAACCCCACATTATTATGTGTGGTTTGCTGCACCTTTCAAATACCATCGAGACTACTATACCATACTGGCGTTTTGTATACTCGGTGATGGTATTGGCTATGAAGTTACAAAGAGGCAAAACTAGCCTATATCACGCTGAACATCGAGTCAGGCTATTTGGCCCCCATAATGTTAAAAATTATAGTGCAAGAGCAGCAAACCTTTTTTGTAATTACATGAGACTCATGCAGGCACAAAATGCTCCTTGTGAAAAGCTGCTACAAGTGAAGCTTATATATTATTCCTATTATATTCTTATTACTATTATTAGTGTCTAGCACTTTTATCCATATGCGAGAGAACATCCG